GATGCCAGATTTTGGCCCGTGGAGGTGATTGCTTTCCCGCGAAGCATTCAGCAACACTCGACCTTTCAATCTGCCCGTCTGATCTAAGACATCTCTCCAAGGCCAAGCTCCCAAAGGTGTTTGACGGAGCACAGTGCATAATCTCCCTTTGCAAACAGAGATGGCCCTGCTGTCATGGGAGCAGCGTTGGCCAAGGACCTGCAGAGCGCTGGTGTTGGGCAAATGGCATCTCCCAAAGCACGCCTGGCAGCCCCACGGCTCCAGATAAAGCCACGGCAAATTGCCTCCCTGGAATTATGTTGTTTTTCACTATGGAAACCCTCTTATCCTTAAGAAAGGTTGCCTTTTCTTAAGCATTAACAAGCTGGTTGAAAGCAGCTTGTTTTTGGCTAAAAGCAGCGGGAATTTGGCTAATATCTACCCATCAAGAATAACTGGCATATTCGAGGAGTTTGCTCTTGGGTTTTTCCATCCACTGCCTCCATCCACTGCTGGCATCAATGAGTTTGAGGATCAGCCCGTAACCACAGTTAGGGAAAACCAAAGCACTTCATATTCCCTCCCACTGCAAGGTGGAAGGGTAAGATCTTCAGTTTGTGGTGTGTTGCATGGGAGCTGAGGTCTCCCATCGTTCACACATGTTGGTGATGGGACCTGAGGACAGTTAGTGTCTCCAAACTAGAACTGGGTTTCCGCATCCCAATTGATTGCTCATTTTGCCATGCACTAGTAGCTTGTAGCAGGACCTGCACTAGCAGCATCCAACTAATCCTTTCCTCAACTCCCTTATTCCATTTGCACTTCTTTAATGAACAGTGATAGCTTTGGGAGGATAAAAAGCATGGATTTCTGTTCTCCTAAACATAAAGAGGCTCGTACTGAAATATCAATAGATCTCAGAGTTTAAGGTAACCCATCTGGAACGTGTCTGCTTCTGCCTTTTACAGCTCAGCAGAATGCAAGGGTCTACCTCCGTGTTGCTCTGCAAATCCGCTTTTAAAAATATACTGCATACAAAATAACTGGCAAAGACTTAAATACATTAATAACTTAAGAACTTGAATAAGCTGATATTTCATGTGGCCTACATTAATGGGAAGGCATTACATGGCAGATAAGTAGAAAGTTCTCATCTATTGTATAATACATAATTTATTCATGCCATAAACATATTGAGAAAGGGATATGCTCTGGCATTCAGTCTACTTACTTTTCCCACAGAAAAAAAATAAAAATAGTGTAAGAGGATCATGCTGGTGAGAAGATATTCATATCACAACAGCAGCAGACTTGGTGGTTGGGCTGCCAGATATTTCTTTATGGTTGGCAAGATAGAGAGAAAAGCGCAGAGGTTGCACTGCAGTGCACCCATAATTCTACCTACCGCCCTAAGTGTGGAAGCAGTTCATAGAAGAGGCTGATGGCTCTACCCCGACTGATGTCATTACATTAATAAAAATCATCAATAAAAGCATCAATTCCTACTATAATGTAAATGAGACGGTGGCTGAGCGGGCACTGCAGCTGCAAGATAAGGCACTAGAAAGATATCTAAAATTTGGCTAATTCTAGATGTCAAGATAATTGGATTTTCAAAATTAAACCTTTCTGTAGTTAAAGAGGATTAAGGGTTAGGGACCGTAGCAGAGAAATCTACTGTCACCGTTATGAAGAATTTGCAGCTAGTGTGCCATTTTTCTTCTTCTGTATCTGCTGTAAGTGAGGCAAAATGGCAAAAGCTTCATAAAAGTATTGCAGTAGTTATATCATTTGCCATCAAAAGTTGGCATAGGATAAGTCTGTTTCTTGTGCATCTACTTATTCATTTTATGAGCTCTTAATGGAATTCTAGTGGGCACTGAAGGGACAATATAAGATTGTTTTGAGTAAAATTTAGGTTGTATTAAAAGGTCCAGGAGATCTACCATATGACAGAGGATAATGATATTGCAGAGCCAAGATGCTTAAGAACTGAGGGATACATGGCCTTAGTTCAAATTAAGGAAGATCTACTTAAGCCTCATTAAAACAAAGTTTTCTTTGGGAATATCTTTTGACTTTTTAACTGCCATGAAAGCAAAAACCTTGTGAATGAATCTGTCTCATGAAAGAACTAACTGATATTTCAGTAGAAGAGCTGACAACTTAAATACTCCTTGCAATACTCTCTTTCCAGATGGCTTCTCCACAGACTTTCTCTGATTCCACACACTTCCAAGGCAGGGACATAAACCACCTGACGTGGCAGGGCATGAGTCAAATCCATAACTATGGAATAAAATCTTCCCTATGATCAGATTATTCTGCAACTTCTTCTTAAAAGAGCTTTTCTTTTTACTTTTTTCTGAAGCAATAGTTTTGGTCTACCACTGAGAGGAACCAACCCATTGGATGAACTTGTATGATCAATGATAGTCCTTATGTTACTGTATGTTGCTAGAGAAGGTCTTTCCTATGGCTTAAGGGCATCTTAAGGCCTTTGTTTTCTCAGACTCTCCTGGGGTGGAAGTCTGGAGTGTTACACCACCTGATGAGATAACACTGCAAGATATGTGGAAACCATCATCTTTATCTTTCTCCATAGCTGGAACCTAAAGATAAGCTTACCTGCTGCCTCCATTCTCAAGAAGGACCCTGGCAATTCTTCCACTCCAAGTCTGTAGCAGCAACATCCTCCATGTATCAGAGAGTAGTTTTCATACATAACACTTCTGGTGGAAAGACACCAAAACACATGAAAATGGGAAAAAACAGTTGTCCCATCCTCTCTCAAAAGACTCTGGTGAAAAGTCCGGTGCAGCCCTTGTAATTTTCTCCACAGTTTGACTGTATCCTGACTATCTGCATGGTCTACGCCACGATAGACATGATGTTCTGCATTTCCTGGACACATTGGCAGATATTTCTCTGTGGGTAGGGACCTCAGTACATAAAGGCTTAAGCAGAAAAATCTCCAGGGATTTCATCGTATAAAGTTTTCTGCTCCAAAGTTTTTATGGGCTGAAGTTTTATATCCTTAAAGACTTTAGCCCATAAAAATCCAAGAGGATAATAAAACAAATAGCATCTATGTCCAGGGTCAGTAGCTTGGGGAAAAAAAATGCTCTTGGGTAATAATGCCTTCACCAGCAGTATTGACCAGAAACCACGGACCTATTTTTCCCCCCTTTGCCTGACATTTTACCGTTATTGCCCTCAGAGTCGGTCACTATTTGCATGCTGTGCAGCGTATCTATGGGTACCTGGCAATGCAGAGATTGACTTTGAGCTGCTCTCAAGGATGATGAATCCAAAAATGAACTTTGCAGGCAAATGCCAGGAGAGCTATTGCCCCGCACCCACACAGTATGTCTGGTCCAGCTGCCCACCTCTTTGTCTCGCTGCCTCACTCTATATATTTTACATCTGAAGTGGATAGATACAACCAGAAATATATTCACATTACTTCTGACTAGAAAATGGCTGCTGAGCTACAGAAAGCCAGCAGAAAACCCAATATCAAGCACAAAATTTGAGTTGGTGCCTATATTTACACATGAAATTGAGCAGTTACATGTTTGTCTAGTCCTCTGCTTTTCTTAAAATTTACCTTGGAAGGCTTTACGGGTACCTTCGCTTTGTTACTTATCCTGTAAGTGCCCTGAATGATAGTGAATTTAAAGTCTATCAAAATACAAAAACTCAAAATCATTTTGCTATAAATCACAGCAGACTGCTAGGTATTTCTGGAGAGAAGAACGGGCCCAGCTCCATTCACGGGTCCCTGAACTCTTGGCAGGGAGACACACTTGCTATTTTCTGCTCTGGTACCTGCAGGTCTGTAGAGGTAGCCACAGATAATGAGGAGGTGTCTGCAGAAAGTTTCCTTCTCACCCGAGGGGACATTATGACCACCCCAGGTGGTCATAGTACTATCATACACATTTAAAGCTTCTTAATTGTCCAGGGACAAATACTGTCCACTTGAGACTACTCCCAGCTTAGTAAATATCCAATAAGGGCGGACGAAAGGCAGTGATCTAAAATACGAGGTCCTCAGAGTTGTTCTAGGCTGTTCCTAGCAGAGCACCCAGTGTAACTGCATTCAGGGTACCTGCAGGACATCTGCACAGAGCAAGCATGTCATTGCTATTGCATTTCTGCACCCTCCGTGCCTACAAACACAACAAGAATAAGCAACATCAGACCATATCCGAGGATCTTGTGTCATGGGAAGGTTTCCGTTTTTGCCCAGATAACCTGGTGAGGCCTCAGGGATCCTCCAGTCTCCTGGAAGGGCTGTCCATCCATGCAAACAGGGCCGAGAGTCCCTCGCAGCGATCCATAACGTCCCAAACGGAGCTGGGCGCCTCCTCAAGCACCCGCAGCACCGGCTCATTGGGGTCCATGGAGTGTGACATCCCCCTCCCTGCACAGGGCTGGCTCATGCATCATTAGAGTCATTTTTAAGGGATGACAAGGTTCATAAGCTTCGCATTGCCCTCCGCACAGGAGTGAATTTTGCTCTTAATGCAAATGGTGTTTAAATGCAATATTTTAAGACTAATACTCTCTACAGACACAGCGTCTGATTCATGCCAACCCAAGGGGTAATATGAATGCTTAGTATTCTTTAACCAGCTCCCAAGGACTGAATAAAGCCTGCAGATGAAAGATGTGACCTTCAGAGAGCATGGAATCACTTTTTCTTTTCATCTAAAAGATAATTTATCTAATACCTTTCTCCTCATTGAAGACATAGGCTTGCTGCACTGAAAACTGTTTACAAATGTTCTATCTCCATTAAATTGATTTTCTGAGTATAGATAGGCAGTGTTTTCTGGAACTAATTTAAATTCCCTCTAATTAATATTCAAGACCAAAATATGTTATCTTTGCATGACTGTGCAATTATTAAAGGGAAAAATATAATCTGTGAAAGTAATTATTTTTCTTTTTTTTTATATTTTAACTAGCCGTCAGCCAACATGAAATGTATCACTTCTTTGCCCTCTTTTTAGGCTATGATTGAAGAAGCTGTCACCAGAGAAGAATCTTTTTCAGTTATGTACACACCATTTGTGACCAAAGCCAAGGCTGACAAAATAGAAAAGATGAAGGACATTTTCGCTAAAAAGCACCCTGATTATGTAGAGCACATATATACAGGTAACAGGAGATTTCACGTGTTCTTAAGCACTCTATGCTGTCTGCATGAGTGTGGCTAACCTAAAAGGAGATTAACAGCTTGAGCCTCTACATTCCTACACTTCTGTGGGGTAAAATTAACCTCCAAGATTTGCACATAGGATTGCACTCGTTTCGGGAAATCAGGTCAGCACTAAGGCAAAGCACAGACCTGATGCTGCTCATCCCCACCAAGATGATTTTTGTCCATGAAACCTCATGTTTCCTGGCTGAGTGCCATTATTGCAACAAATCTTTCATGTACTTTTATGGGGTATTATGGAGACAGCACAACCCGTGTCCAGTCCATCCCCATCACTGGGGATGCACCTAGGTCACTGGCCCTTCGGTGGGACCTTTGCTTTCTAAAAATACCTTTCTATAAGAAAGTGCTAATTCACTGATTACCACCTCGGAGAGCATCTCAGCTGCAGGGATGTGACTGCACAGCCAGTTTTCCTCAGGCTGTTCAGGACAAGCAGGATCCTGAGCGAGCAAGGGCTTTGGGAGCCCAACACTATCTCCTGGCAGGGTAGCATCTTGCAGAGGAAACACACACTTAAATCCTGGTGACTGCAGCTGTATGTCAAGAGGAATAGGCATGACATTTTGGAATAAGGCAGGGGGCTCGAAGGCATTTCTCCCAATCGTTAACCTGCCGGCTTGGAGCATATTTGACTCTGGTAGCACTTGGCTTTGAGCTGATGATTGAAAAACGTAAAGGGAAAAAGCGCATTTCTCAGGTCAGCTGCTGGGAAGCATCTGTGTTCGTCATGTCAGCTACATCTGGAGCTCACCCCTCACTGGCACTTGCAGCGGGGTGGTCCTGAGCTGATGGGCTGTCACCTTCCTGCAAGAGCTACACCAGGCTCACAGATGAAAGCCTTATTTGTGACAGCACTGGCTCGGCCAGCGCACTTCCCAGATAAATAAGGCTTCCAAAACAATAGCTATTGCACCTTTTAGGGAGGGAAATAAAATCTGTTTGAAAAACAAACAAATAGGCATTAGGAAACTAAGTGTCTACAACAAAACTGCAAATATTTATCACCAGCAAACTTTTGTTTATTTCACTTAAGGAAATCCTTATAAAACTCGATCACTGTTTTGCAAGGTGCAGAGCATGGCTATACTGGCAGTTTTACTGGCGCAGTAGTTTTTGTTTGGTTTGATTTAAAGAGGGAAAACAGGGACTCATTTCTCATGGAGTTTTTAAAGGGCCTGTCTTTTGTGTCTGTCTGCTTGCAGATGAGACTTTGTGGAGAGCTTCCAGGAATAAAGGAATAAAAGTACTGGCATTGAAAGGAAAAAAATACAAAACTTCCAAAATTTGACTGGAAAGAAAGAGAAATTCATATTCACATATACCCTCAATTTATAGCAAGAGTGAGACTTTCAAAAGCACCTAAGAAGCAAAAATGTGCAAGTTTTGCACTGAAACACAGTAAGATTTGTGTTCATAAATCATTAGGTTCTTCTAAAGGTGTCACTGGCCATTTTTTTCACAAAGCCTCCCCAAAGCCATCGCCACCAAGTGTGGCTTGTTTCCAGTGCAGGACTCCCAATCGTTTGACCTGTGGGTCCCTTATCTCATGTAGGAGAAATGTAAAATCTGAGCTGAGTTGTTTGAGTAGGGGGGTTGAAACACCAGACATCTCATGAGCCCATCACTTTAAATGACTTTTCTATACAGTCCCAATCGTACATCCATCTGTAGGTCCGGTCCAGTGCATTGCAAGGACTGAACTGGTTTCAAAGCTTGCCCAGGAAGAGAGGCAGGGACCTGCTGCAATGAAAGCATTCAATGGAAGCCTGTTTCCAACCCGAGAAGCCATGAGGAGCCCAACATGTGCTAAGAGAAACATGAGGTCCCCGCGGTGTGATTTACGCGGGGTGAAGTCCAGGGAGCTCCAAGTGGGCTCCTCCGTTTGTCACAGCGGCCACGCTGCCGCTGTTGAAAGCAGAGGCTGCCGAGGGCAGAGCAGAGCTCGGCAAGAAGTGACATGATGTGGTTGTGATGATAAAAAAAAAAAAAAAAAAGCCAAATCCGCAGGGAAATCAGGCTTTGTAATTTCATGGAGCAACTGCAGCTCGTCTTTTAACGAAAGAAAATAAGGACAGTGTGTTACTGAAGTAACACATTCTGCTAATTATGCTCTGGAAAGAGCATAAATGGGAAGGAATATATTCCATCACTTGTGTCAGCAAAATTTAAAATGTTGATGAAAAATGTTGCAAAGTTAGAAATTTCAGAGCCTGGTTCCAGCTGGATGGGATTGCTTGGTAGCTTCTGCGCTGGTAATTTTTTCCAGGTTACATGTCTTTCCCTCTTTAAACTCTTAGGGCTTCCTATTTTTTTTTCCTGCAGAAAAGTAACTTACATTGCATCCAAAAAGAAATGTGATAGCAAAAGGTGCTTTCATTGTCCTATTCCAGATCCTCATGGATTTCATATCTTGCCACAGACAACGGACTGGTCCTCTCTGCCTCCCCAGCAGTATCTTCTGACTCTGGGCTTCAGAAACAAAGACGTCGGAAAGTTCTTGGAAAAGATGTCAAGCAGGAAGCTGACAATCTTTTCAGGTATGTTGACTCATTCAGTGGCTCTGAAAGCTCAGGGATTCCCCATGTCATCCTTGCTTTCTGAGCACGGGGAACAGGAGGGCTTCTTTGGATCCCTCTCTCTGCGCCTGCAGCTCTCCCCATCATTTTGCCTCTCCCCCCAATTCAACCACCTTGCTCTATCCCCTACACAAAATTTACATGAACAAGCCCAAAATGGAGGTTTGTGGTTTCTTAGAGTACAAGGCACCTTTGAATCTTCTCACAAAAGAAGAATCAAGAAGACATTTGGAGACCATCGGGAAAAAGATCTTGCCAATAATGGATTTTATACGAAGCACCAAGTTAATGGTGGGTATAGAATTTGCTTAATATTTTCCAGTGAATATAGCATTAGAAGGCTGTAAGAGTGCAAATGAGAAGTGCTTCTGGGTCTGACCAGGTTCTAGATACTTTTAAAAAGTAACTCTAATTATTTAACTGGATGCCCAGCTTACTTAACATCACTTTGCCCATGATTTTCTCAAACCTTTAAGGCCTATTGCAATATATTCATAGCTCAAAACCAAACAAATCTACTATCTTTAAAATGCCTGGTATTCTACACGTATTGCAGGGCTCTCCATCGAGTTAGTAACAGCTGCTTGAAGCATTTCTAGTGCTTTAGATCCTGGTCCTTACACAGTGAAGGATGTGCAATAACCTTCGAGTGTGTTAAAGCGGAGCTGAAGGTGTATTAGTTAATTCTATGTCACACTTTTCGCAGCAATGTACACAGCTTTTTAGCACCACGGCTTCTGATTAGCACAAAAGGTCAAAAATCAAATTTGCATGGAGACTAGACTATTTCAATGCAATTCTCAAATTATTCTGCAGGAAAAAAAAAAATGGAAGAAGCCTCTCCTCCCCAGACTGTAAATGCTAACATGAATGCTTTTTTTCCCCCGTTTTTTCCTAGCAATAACAGTTTTTCAGTTTTCTGTGTGTTGAAAGAGCCAGAGTCATTTCCTCATCAGGGGTGTCTTAGCAAATCACAGGATTTATATTCTTAGGTTTTGATAACAGATAGGAGGCTGACAAAAACTGCTACTTAGCAACCCTTTGCAAGGAGGAAACATTAGCTAGGTATTTGGAGAAGCAGCATCTTCTTAACCCTCCGAGAGCAGCCACACGACGACGCTAAGAGTTTGCTCCTACGCATGCGGTGGGAGGTGAAGGAGCTCGGCGCTTTGCCAGAGCGGGCGCTCCTGAGGCGCTCGCACGGGTGGGAAGCAGCCCCGGGCAGGCATTGCCTTGGAGACTTAGAAATTTCTCCTTTTTTTCTTTTGAAATTTCAAAATATCTTTCATTTACAACTATCTCATCATGCAAACGCATTTGGAGGACCGTGCATGGTTCTAACAGAGATGGATGGGATCTAGGATCAGGGAAAGGGAACAACGTGATAATTCAAGAGCTGGGATCAGAGTTAGGATTGCTTAAATCTCTCCTCACCAGCAGCATGAATTTATACTGCTTCTACCCAGCAATATTCTCCACCAACTCTAGACCTCCCCTAGTATGTTTAGATATTTTGCCCAAACCACAGAGGCTCCCAAGATTACAGGGTGAAATGCCCGCACTGCTGAAGCCAGCACCAAACTGGCATTTTTCTGGGGAGATCAGCACGGCGTCCACACAGTTTACAAAACGTCTGCCTGAGTGGCACCTCCAGGAGCAGCTAAACAGGCCTGGATCATGTTTCTACCAATGCCTGACCCATCACCATGGGGTCACCAGGGGAGCTGTGCCCCGAGATACAATAGATTATCCCTGAGTTAGCATCAAACTGCTGCCAATCCTGCAAATCAGAAGGGCTCTGCACCTGGTATGGTAGAAACACACTCGCCTTCTCTTCAGCTTTTGCATCATTGAATGATCCATACGTATGTATAGCTCACTCCACATACAGACACGAGGTTTACAGCTTACTTCTAGAAGATACAGGAATATATTTTTAATAAGGCAAACATTCCTTTCAGCCATCTTCTTCACTTACAAGTGCAAACATACAATGCAAAATGCTTGCCCTAATCATGTTTTTCCAACGAAAACACCTCACTGCTACAGCAGAGCTCATTAAGTAATGGCAACATCCTTAATATAAGTCAATTCTGCCACCTCAGTTTTGTAACCATGCAACTTACGGCTAATCATTTAATTTATAAACACCTGACTGTTGGTAAGACATGACATGAAAAAAAAAACAGAGTATTTTTTATTTGACTCCATTCTTCATAGAAGACAGCCAGTCCTATTGAAATCAAAGAGGCATTTTTACATTGTAAAGTAATAGCCACATGAGTGAGGACATCACAGTCCACCCCTAAAGCAGTGTCAGCTGCTGAGGGTGGTAAAGAGCCACAAACCTGATCTGCCCACAGATTCCTACCCCAACACCAAATTTACTTTATTTGTCTTATTGAAAATAAAAGAAAGAAAAATCCATCAGAATCTAGGTAACTCATATTCTGAGTAGGATTACCAGCACCAACAATCAGTTTCTCTGTCAAGTCTTTTCACTGGGGTCATACCTGCCACTTCCTACACATCAGGTTTGCCTTTTTCCTGTTGCCATCCCATGGCCAAAGCGTGGCCAGGGTGGGGCTTATTAAAATGTTCACATTATATAAGTGAACCAAACCTACCATATTGTACATAGCAAGTGCTATTCTTTCACAAATCCATTTGTTTTATTGTTTATTTTTTCAGCTCAGGAAAGTGTTTGCTATATCCAGATTTCGGCATACTCATTTTCTGGAGGATACCAAGGGCATTAAGGAAACATAACGATGTGATTTTTTGCTTGTTATTGCATTATTGCAATACACATGCTTGCAAGGCATGGCTTCATTGAGATTTTGAGCTGAAAAATAGCAGCAAAGGCTCAACAATAGTAAAGAAGAACCACTGCAGGGCATTCCAGACCTTTGCAAAGTGGTGCTCTTAAAGCCAATGGTTAAACATGCCACATGCATTTGATGTGACAGATCCTGCTTTTAATCCAAGCTGACTCACTTTGTTTCTCTTTTTCCTTAGCACTCCCAGCACTCCGCAATCAAACTACAGTTGCAAACAGAAGTGATCTAGAAATGACATCCCTAGGAAGTGGGGATGCCACCCCAAACTTCCCAATGAGACTGACGCATGTGGGAAGTGGAGGGGACACTCAAGCAGAGGGGATTGCACTCTTCTCACAGGCTCTCCAGTTTCTTTTTGTCCCATCTTTGCTTTAGGGCTAGTGCTGGACCTTAGCAATAGTAGGCGAGATCCATCTAGAACAGCCTGATCTGCTTTTATTACATGTTCTTCCCCAGGGCTGATCCTTAACCATCAGGACGTTACTGCTGTTTTCCCCAGCTTAAAGGGAATTAGGGGAAAAGGCGATAGTTTAGTAATAAGGGTTCAGGGGATAGCTTTTTCTTAGGAAGATCCCTGACTCTGCTGAGATTGCCTCTTATGAATAAGGTCATCAAAAAAAGCTCATAAGTTGTTCATTTTCTTTTTTTTTTTTTCCTTTAAGATTTCCTTGGGAGACCAGACACTTAAGGTGGGGCTCATCTACAAAGGAAGAGCTCTATAATTTAGGCCCCCTGTGCTATCCCATTTCTAACCGAGGAACAAATTTGACTCCACATGCTGCATTTGTCTGTTGCGTTGCTGCCTGGTTTCTCAAACATGCATCCCTTCATTATTAAATGAGCCAACCCTTTTGCACTGAAGGCTCAGTTTAGGCTTGCTCTTTACTTACCCTTCACTGTACCTATCTGAGATGACTTTATATTCACCTGTTTGGTTGGCCAGTTTATCGTGGTTTTTACTGCAGCTTAGTAGGCTCTCGAATTCTGCTATAGTTCATGTAATTCTCATCATGTGGCTCCATTCCCCAAGGAATTCTTTTCTCCTGCCAGCAGCAGTTATTTACTCTCTCTTCCTGCATTTATCATTGCCACTGAAACACCACCTCTGACAATGTTCAACCTCCTCTAATCCCCTTAAAAATAAACCCTGCTGTCGGCTCTTTATTTATTTATTTATTTGCTTTGTACCTGCTATAAACTTAAATAGCATTGCTCTGTCCACTGAGTGCATTCTGGCACAGATGCCCAATTTGTTTCCCTTAGCTACGTGGCAAGTTCTCTCATTTTTCTAGAGAGTCAAGCAGGGAAAGAATTTCTTCTTTGCCTCTCCTTTCTTAATCACTGAAGTTGCCCCCAGCAGACACAGCACGATAAGAGAAGATTTTTACCTGTTTTCTTAGCTGATGATTCACTATACTCATTCCTTAATGCTTGCATGAAAAAAAGAAATATAAAAAAAAAAAGAGTTTCGGGCGGCTTTCAAGAATAGCAGGGAAGAACCTTTTGCTGTATCTAAAACGTTGCGTGACTATTTCATGTTGATAAGAGCTCTTTCTCTCTCATTAACTGATTGCTCCTCCTTATTTTAATGAGCACAGATGTAACTGGGGACTCGGCTCTCAGGCTTTCAAACACCGATGATTAGCTGGAGAAGGGGACCCATTTTGCTCCCGGTTCTTGTGCCACGTTAACTGTACTGTGTCAGACGCAGTTCAACGCATCAGAGGTCACAGAGCGATTTTTCTTGCTGGTCTCTCTTGCTAGGTCAGGTCCTCAGAAAACATCTTTTCATTTGATAAAAATAGGCTGCAAAAAGGCTGTCCCAGTCTCCCCTCTGAGAGCTGGTTCAACAGACCGTGGGACCCCAAGGGCTATCCTGGCTCCTCATGTCACATCCAATGCACAAGATATTTGCCTTCTTTGCTTCTGTCTTGCCTTTTTTGCTTCTGTCTTTACTGCTAAGTCCCCAAGAACCACAGAGCCCAGGTAAAAGATAAACAACCAGGAGAGAGGAAGACTTTCTGCTGGTCGAAGAGGAGTAGTTTAGGGATTATTTGGGCAAGCTCATGGCTGTGCTGCCATTCAGAGGGACCTAGATAGGCTGCAGAGTTGGGCAGAGAGGAATCTCATGAGGTTCTACAAGGACAAGAGCAGAGTCCTGCACCTGGGGAGGAATAATCCCATTCAGATGCTCAAGAAACAGAATTGCCATCCCAGTCTTATTTGTACCTATTTATACACAGTGATCCTCCTGTTATCATTGTCTTTTATCTCTCTCTTTCCCTTTTCAATTTTGGAATTTAGCCCTCTATATATTTGTTGAGATGGCTAATAAGCTCTTGGCATTTTCATTAAGAGACTAATCAAACCCCAATTCTCTCAGAAGAAGTAGTCTTCCACCGTGCTGGCATCTCTGATCCAGGAGGCTTTTGTTTAAATCAACCTCTCCAAACACAGCTGAGCGGGAGCATGGGCAATATTGCATAGACTGCTTCCCATAGCTTCTCCTCCCTGTGCAAGTGCATGGGGTCTTTCCCTCAGCTGATGGAAAAACCAGGTCATTGGCTTGGATCTTTCCAATTTGGTTGTTCTGTCATACGAACCAGCCAGATTATACCTAAATTCCAGCCTTTGGTTTTCAGAGGCTTTTTATTTTGTGCCCATTTCAATAGCCATTTCGGTAACAATTTCCATAAACTTTCCATTCATTTGATGATATTTATGTAAGGCAAATTTTTTCAAAACCGAAAAAGGTTTAAATCGAGGTTTTTGTAAAGAAAAGTCCACTTTTAAAAAATAGGATGCACTCTACTGAAAAAATAATTTTCATTCAAGACTTTCCATCCAGGTTGTTCACTATATGATTGGATTTGGACCCTCTACTAGGAACCAAAATGGCTGTAGATTGCAGGCTCAGCTTGCCACTGTACGTAACTGCCAGCACAAAGGTCTGCTAAAAATACTGCAAGCAGTTTTGAAAATCCATGCCAATATTTTGAATTTCAGGCATTTAAATACATTCAAAACCTTGATTAAATGAATGGAAATTTCGCTCCGAAGTGTTGAGCGTTCGAGTATACGAGGGCTACGTCTCTTGGAGAATCTAGGCCAAATTGCTTTTGAAAATCTCAGCAGGGTGCTTATTTGCATTTTTGGCATCCGAGCACTTTTGAAAATATGGTGCTAAGGCTGCCATCCATCAAACACTTCAGCAGGTGCTGAGGTTTTATGCAAGCACTTGGCCAAGCTTCTGTATTCACAGGCTTAAAATTACCCCTGTGCCTATCTGCCTGGAGGAGCAGAGACCACCTCTGCGAGTTTCAGTGCACCGAGGTTATATATTTGAACACTTTGGACGTCCTTAGTCTGCAAACAAACCGCAGATTTACACACTGCACGGCTGCCTTAACCTCCTCGCTGAAACTTTAAAAGCAATCCATAAAAGTCAGATAATATTTAACAGAGGGGATTAAGGCAAAGCCATTTCCAAATGAAAACATCGCATTCGTGTTTGTTATCTGATGCCTCCCCTTCATATATATTATAAGCATGTATTTATTCTTCTAGTACCACTAGAGATATTGTGCAAAGAAAGCCCTTTCTTTTCCTCTTTATAATTGTCAGCAGCATTATATCGTAAAGGTGCTGATGCCATATTGCTTGTAGCATTACCAGCGCATATATATTTGATGATAAGCCTCAAGGCATAAGACTCGAAGGAGAAGCGTGTTTTCTGTGACTCTCTCCTAACCCGCTTGCCTTTGCCGAGAGAGCAGGACCGTTTCTGCGCGTGCTCGCACGTGATAGAGAAGTTGCAGTACGCCAGCCTGCTCGGCTGCTTGCAGCAAGCCACCGAGGAGTCCCAGGTGATTAATCAAGCCATGGCTGAGCTCGCATCCCTCCCCTACCTGCAGGACATCAGTCAGCAGGATGCTGAATTGGTAAGCATTCCTTTCTAATCCTTGTGCTGGCCTCCGCAGGCAGGAGGCCAAGGAGGGGAGGTTTGGGGCAGAAGATTGCGCTGTTGTTGGCTCTGAACGCCAGTTCTGAGCGTGTGGACGTGGGGAATGGCTTCAAAATCCTGCTGCAGTGCCTTGTCAGAGGAGCTGCTCATCACCTGCAAGGATAACTTCCACAGAGCCAGCATGACTCAACTGCTCACATATTTTTAAAGCCTCTTCTTTTCCTCCAAACCTCCCAAAATTAGTATGGGAAAATGATTGCAATTATTCAGATCGTGCTACTTTAAGGTACCTAACATCACAAGCCACCTGCAGCCAAAGAGGCAGAATCTCATAATTAAAAGCAGAGAAGTGAAGAATAAGGAGAGAAAAGATTTTTCATTCCTGGCTCCACCTGCAAGTTGCTCCCTGTCTCTGAGCACAGTCATATAATTCCCATAATACCTTCCACACTGTTGTTTTTCCTCCATAAACTTAGGATAATGTTACTAGCAGGGTCGTCGTGAGGCTGGAGTCACTATCATCTTGGTGCTCTGTTGATAACCTACAAGTAGGTGATGTAGATGTAGGGTTACCCCTCCATCAAACTGTTGAGTTTTCTGGCACAGAGGGGAAGGAGCTCGAGTACTTACCTACAGGTTTCAAACCTTTCACCATGGCCAAAAAGAAATCCCCCACGGCACCTATTTGCAGTCCACTCTCAGTGATCCAAATGCAATGCACTAAAATTTCTTGTTCTCCCCAAGCCAGTCCCTAGAAATTTGTTTGCTGTCCAGCAGAGCCCACGAGCTCTGCAGAGCTGCAGCTTCATGAGGCCAACGTTAGAGAAGACCAGCAACATCCTGCCATGGCTGGAGGGAATTAACAGACTTTGGCCCAAATAAGGGGAAAACACATTGCAGGGAAACTGCTATTAAAAGACACCGGCCTTTCGATGCAAGTCTTCTACCATTAAACTTCAGCAGTGCCACATTTCAAGGTTGACTGAAGGGTCTTGAGTTATTGGTACATATTTCAGCTACAGGTTTTCTCCAGGGTGCAATATTTTCAGCGCTTCGCAGCTTAGGCAGGGGCTATTATGCTACTGCCTATATCTTGTCATGTAGTAATCATAAGCCTGACCTCCCAGAAACCTTTTTGGGAGAAAGCTCTAGGCTACCTAATACAAAGGTCTTCAGTCTCTTAGGGGTAGGATTTGGCAGAATGAGGATCTGTTCTGGGAGATTTCAGGGACAGACTGTAAATCTTGCAGTGAGGATGCTCATGCACGGTTTATCAAGGCCAAGGTAAAAATGATTTTTAAAAGAAAAAGGCAGCACGTCTCTGTCAGCTACGCTGTCCCCAGCATTAAAATGTATAAATTCAACTTTCATTTATTTTCCTTTCTCCTTTCATCCTGCTGCAAACTGCATCTTTAACCTGTATGTGAAAGCAGAGGCTAGGAAGTTCAGTAGCTGGGATGTCGTAGCCAGTTTCAGGCCCTGTAGTGTTAAGGCACAACTCTGCAAGAGTTTCCAAAGTGGATTTTACCAGGGGGTGATTAATGGGCTTCAACTTGCTCCTCAGCACCAGCCAGCACAGCACATGCCTCTTCCCAAGCCACTGTGGGCTCCTTCCCAACCATATTGCAACTGCATCAAGCCCAGAGCTTTTCTGCCCATAGCGGGTTCGGCACAAGTGAGTCATCCAAGGAACAGGCAAAAAATCCCCAATGTTTGGCCAACGCGTTATATTCTTCTCACTGGGATCCAGACTGGAATAACCATGTGTGGGACTGGCACAATTCAATGCCCTTCAATGAAAGTTGCAGCTACTTGTGTTTATCTCCCGCTGTTCAGTAACATTTCTAAAAAAAAAAAATCCAAGTATTTAGAAGGTATTTTTCCATGAAGGAAGCAGAGCTGGCCAAATTTTAATCTCTTGTACTAATATAAATTTAAAGTAATTCCTCTGAGGTCATTCTGAATTTAAATTGGTAAAACTGAGATAAGACTTTATGGTCATGCAAGCCCATTAAATTGTTGGGTTAGAAAATGCTAAAGATGCCAGACTTTTATTATCACATACGGTATAAGTTGTATAAAGTTTAAAACATGTTGAATTTATAACAGTGCAATTTGCACTGATACAGCCCGGCTCCCAAAGGCATTTCAGTTATAAACTCTCCTCTGCAAATGTCTTTCTGCAACTAAATAAATAGAGTCCTAATCTATGGCAAGGAGAATCTCAGCTGAGGGCTTTTTGGGTTAGTATTTATTCATAGGTCCTGGGAGAATAAAGATTTCAGTTCGTTTGAACAGTTGAATATAAGTGTCAGGGAAAATCCTCAGCAAAATCTTTCCAAGGTTTACGAGTGCTATGTCACCATGGCTGTACACTAAAAAATCAAGATGAAAGATTGTTAAAACAACAGAAATCTCCTCCAGTTTAAAACTGAATGAGGCCATAAAAAAAAAAAAAAAAAAAGAAAAAAGAAAAAAAACACCAAGCCTTTTTCCTTGGAAGGGGTTTTCCCAAAAAGATCAGCTTTAGGAGAATGACTGTGCCAACTGCCCTGTTCATGAGCAGTCACATCCTCTCTGCCAGCAAAGCTGGTCAAATATAGTGATAAAAATTAAAAGCAAAATAAAGAATACACACTAGGCACTTTGCCCTGAGATGTATCCGTTTCAGTGAAATTTTAATTGGGAGGTTTTCCTCTGTTTTGATTTTTTGCCCAGAGCAATGACATCTCCATACTGGTCCTTCGGGGTAACTGGTTGATGTCCCAGTCCTGGCTCGTGAAGAGCTGGAAAAGCCCCAAATTGCCCCCCAAAAATGGGACCAAGGAAACTCCCCTTCCCCCGACCAGGTCCTGCTCCAGCTGGTTCACAGCAGGACTTGTGCTTCGCCCCCCTGCCCTTAATACCCTTAATCTCCAGGCTCTGTCTATGCTGGATTCATAGAAGATTATCTGTCACAAAAGTGGTCAGACGGAAAATTTCTGACAGGTTCTTGATTCCTTTAAAGCCAGTGGCAGAAATTCACGTTTTTATTTTTCATGAATACCAAAGCCTAAGACTTCAAAGCAGACATTTTCATCAGCTCCTTGGCCCAATGAGACGTAACTCCGTGGTGTCACATGCACAGCGAGCCCAAGCTTATTGAGAGATCCAAGAAGATATTGATGTCTCCTTTACCCGATGCTGGGAGGTAGAGGAGCAGTTTTATCCTGGAAAAGCCTCAGCATGGGCATTTTTGGTTCGTGGCCTCTGTGCTCCTGTTAAGCTGCTGCCCCATCTAGGTGTCGCAGGAGGAACAGCCGGTCTCCATGTGATGCTCAAGCTCATGCTGGTCTGTCCGGAGTCAAAAGAACTAACAAATGTGGGAAGAGACACCAAATCCCACTCCTTCGGGTTCACGTTTACCAGCTAACCATTGCAGAAGAGGCCTAATACAGCATCATACCATATCACACAGAACTTGCATTAAACACAAGTTCCTCCCCATTTCTTCCTGCCATTAATTGCCACCTCCCTGAGTTAGCATATTAAATGCAACCCAAGCAGGGCTTAGGAAGTCTCCTGGCATGAGGCAATGCTCCTGCTAACCAGAGTTTCAGGCCTTTCCCTCTAGCACTAAGCACTGATTAGCATGTATTTTTCCACAGCTGCTTTTTATAGTTTGCACTAGAAATTGTCAGCCTTGTTTTTATGCTCTGGTACGCTGGGCGCTGGGCAGGAGGGGGCTCTGTCAAAGGCAAGGAGAGGGAAAAGAGGGAAAATGAGCCAGATACTTGCAGCTACAGTAAAAGCTTCTCCGCGTTAGCGTTGTCCTCTTGCGAGGTTTTACATGCTGCCTTAAATTATGATACATTAGCCTTGGGAGGAAATACTAAAAAGCATTCATGTACTACACAGAATAACCCGGCAAGCTAAATAATGAAATATGGAGCCTTTATTCTTTATAGCCCAAGTCTTCCTTTGCTAAATATGGACATTTGCCACATTAAAATCTATAGGCTCAAATACAAATTTTTCCACAGTTTTTTTTTTCCCCATTGTTAAGTATTTTATAACCACCATAATACAGTGTAATGGCTGAAGCGGAGATGAGGTGGCGGTGCTCATTGTGTGAAAGATGAGTAATAAAATCATCAGCGTACAAATGATTTTTTAATTAGGTTTTAATCTGTGTATTTAGAGAAGTTATTTCTGTGCGAATTCCACACTGATAATTTTTATCTTGCTACCACAGCTGCAGTCGCTAATGGCAGATGCCATGGACACCCTTGAAGGAAGAAGAAGTGATAAAGAACGTGTGTGGAATAAAATTCAGAAGGTAAAACCTGCAGCTAAGGGCAGAGGAGTATATTGCTCCTTGGGGAGTAAATGTCCATCTGAGTCACATCTGTTCAAACTGTAGAAAAGAGAGTAGGTGCCTTTTTAATCATATATGTCTCGAACACTGTCCCCACTCAGGCCCTGACCACACATATGTGTTTATTTCTTGCTTTAAGTCCCACAGTTGATCTTTGTCTACGTTAAGAGTGTCGTGTGCTTATCAAATGGGGGAACTGAACGGCTCCGTTCTGGCTCTGTCTCCACTTCTCTTCCATCTCTGTCCTATGGAATCATGCACTAATTGCTGGTGTGGGAAGGAGCTTTGATAGGGAATAAAATCAGCCCGGCAAATTAAGTCCCGTCTGTGAGGCTTTGGTGATGTGAAATGTAGAGACATGCAAATGCCCAGCAATTGGTCACTGTAATTCTTAAAGTATTTGGGATTATTTAGTATTAGTCTTACGCTAGTGCTCTGCACGGGTGACTGGAACCTGGCGTAAGGAACCACAGGTCCAGCTGGGATGCAAAGCAAAGCTCTGGGCACTCGGCACCAGGGACTCCCGGCCTCTTCTGGGAAAATGGGAGTAACACATGGCCAGCAAGGGCAAATTTTGCAAAATATTCCAAGTGTTGCACTAATGCTTAGGGCTCTGTCAAGCCCTGGTATTTACTGTGATCATCAGTGCTACCAACACGGGGCACTGCAAAACATGCCCCTTGCTGCAGCCTCTGTAACCCAGCCCACCGCTATTTTGCAATTTGCATCTATTCTTTTATGGTTATTTTAGGCAGGAGGAGCTTTTCTGGTTAAAGCCAATATGACAGAGGTGCCCAAAACAATTCAGTGTCCCCAGCTGAGGGCCAAGGTACTTTCAGAACCAATATTTACAAGTTTTCAACAGGCAGTGTGTCCATGGCGCAGTCCAGCTCAGTGCAAAGCCTTGCTGAGATGTCACAGCGGTGGCTCATAATAATATAAATAAAATATAATAAAATTCTCAAAATACAGATTGTCTTTAGCTAACCCAAGCCTAAATGCCCCAAACAATAAACAGATCTGGTTTCATCACAGAATGCACCTGAGACAGGACAACTGATAAATGTGTGCACTGCTCTCACAAAGCACTGGAAGATTTTCCAAATCTCTCACACAATCATGTATTTATAGAAGTCTATATCTATTTCTTGCCATGCTTAAAAAACTTTGATAGCAGTAAAAATGCATAGAGCCAGGGACATATCTACGCATAACCGATTCCCTGCTCTCTTCTCCCCATTCTCAGAGCATGGACTTATGTACCAGAGACAGTTTCTTTTCCAAAATTTGTATCTAAAGTAAATATTTTATTCTGTAGTTAGGTGTTTAAATAATCTACCTGATTTCCAGAGCTCTGAACAACCACAGTCCAACAGAGGCTGCTAAGAAGGGCTGCAAGTTGGACTCTATATATTTATTTTATTTATAAATATTTACTGAAACTCAATGAAAGTTTTTTGTGGGTACTAAAGATTCGCACACATTTCAACAGACACTAGCTAACAGGTCACCGTAATTTTAGCAAAATATCAAAGTATTGCATTTAGCATATTTATATATGTATGTATGTACGTATGCATGTTCCTTCTTATATTTCTCATGCTACTTTTACTTTAACTGAAACCAAGCTAACATTTAAAAAAGGAGTGGCATCCCATTTTACACCACTGGAATTTGTGCAAGATTCTATATTTAGGAATAAAATTCACTGAAGCCCTCAAAATCTGCTCTGTGCCATTTTAAAATGTGGTGCTTAACAATTTGTTTGCAGCCTGAACATAGCTTTGCATTTCATTTTTGACAATTGAATAACTGTACTTGACATAAGGCTTCATGCACCAGGTGGAACTTACTACTTGATTCATAGTATACAATTATATTTCTATTTTATTTCAGAATAAAGAAATGGAAAGCAACATCAAACATTTCTTTTTTTTATTTTATTTTATTTTTCTTCCAAAATTTAAATTTCAGCATACTCAGCATGTGCTCAAAGAAATCTTCTTTTTTAGCAGAAAAAAAGGAAGACAAACTTTCTGGGAGCTTTTCCACTAACTCTAATTAAGAACACTAGGCAAGGCTAAAGAACCCTAATAAGCAACTGAGAAAGAGGATTAAGGCAGATGATGAAAAGCTGATGTGTCAAGGATTACAGCCTATAACTTCTATATGCTAGAACTTTTCAGAAAAGTTCAGAATTTCCCAGTTCCTTCATTGTGTGACAGTGATCGCAGGCCCCTACAAAGGACCTTCACACAGTTCTAGTTACAAGGTGTTTATTTGTATTTATGCTATTGAATTAATTTCCATACATTGGAAAATGCCAAAGAGCATAAAGGGGTTTATGCACACGGCTATAAATGCAGAACTCATGAAAAGCTGACAGCTCTGCTACCACCAAGGAAGTTTGGCTTTTGCAGTGCAAACAGCTGTTGCGCCTAATAAAGGCACTCAAAAATTTTCTTTGATGCAGCAGAATTATTGCTGTGCCTATTTTCCAAATGGTTAAAGGCTCTGTCAGAATTGCCATTACGAAACACTGTTTTCAGAGTTTTATTTTCTAATTCATCCATAAAAAAATTCATTTAGGCTGCAGCGTGACATACAAAGGCACCAAGCCTGACACTCCAGCCTGACTCCCTTGCTCAGGGTGGAAGGCTTATCAAATTATTTTGAAATTAATCTGGGTAATTTTGAATTTACACCAGAGACAAAGTAATAACATATCCGTAGGAATTACATATAATTTAAGTGATACATGCAATGGATGGAACACCAATGCTAGCAGTAGAGGTCAACCCTGGATAACTCGGAGAATCAAGTCTTTGCATGGCATTGCAGAAATGTAGGCACCTAATGACTTTATAGCAACTATAAGATTTAGAGTATCAAGCCTTGGCCATTGCAGAAACATAGACACCTAAAGACTTTATAGAAACTACAGGATTTAGAGCATCAGCCCTAAGATTGCTCCTTTCCTTTATGGAGTCTTCATTTCTCTTTGTTTTTGTAAGAGAAAGAAAGGATTGATTACTTTTCTACCTTATAGGAATAAATTCATAAATACTAATGAAGTCCCTCCAAGTCATCAAATAAAGAAACACTTGAGAGCCTATCAACCAGAAATTCAACATGGAAAGAGAAGGCAGCGAGTGCCAACATGGCTCTGCTTCCTTTACGAAGATGATAATACAGTTCTGCTTCTCTCCTCCATTTAGCCCCTAGGACTTCATCATGGTTTCATAGAATCCTCTTATCATCTGAGCAGCCACAGGACAGACATGAGCTGGCAAACAAACGTTTCCCTGCACTTCTACATGTGAGACACTTCATAAAACCTTCACATCTGAGTTTACCTCAAGGGCATCACATACTTTGCAATTTAGATAAGTTATTATGCCCATCATTTGCTGAGCTCAGTGGAATGCCTGTTTCATAAATCTGAAAGCAGAGCAAACATGGCTGAGTGAATAAAAGAACAGATGTAACTTACATAAGGATAAGTATATAACAAAAGCCACACTAATATATGGGAATATGAAATGAAGTAAAATTAGTCTAACATATTATATAATCTTTTAGCCAGGCAAACAGATTTTCACCCATTGACCTCTGCTTACTACATCTCTGCCTTTTGCAACAGCAGGGGAAAACTATCTGATGAACTGTGCTCTTCACTGACATTATCTCTTAATTGAAAATCAAGCCATGGAAAGGGGCCATAGACCAGCTAGCCTTTAGGTCAGCTGGAGAAGCAAGAAAGGAGATTCACAGTGTGTTGATGGAAAGTGGACGTGTTGCTGAGGTTGGCTCCTACAATAGTTGTTTGATGTATATGACATTGAAAGGTCCTGTAAAGTCATCCAGGCCAGTGCCACAGCCGCTGCAGAACTCAGCTTGCTCAGGAGCACTCTGTGCTGAGAAGCTGCAGACTTCCAAGGCTGGATCTTGTTGTGGTGACCTCTCACAGGCTGCCTTGGTTATCCATGAGCTCATAGAAGAAAAATGTTTTCTGGTCTGTTCTGCTCTTGGGGCTGTTGCAGTTGGACGTGCAATGAAACCTTGCATCTGTTGTGCAAAGGAAGGGAAAAAGGACAAGAAAGGAGAGAAAACAGAATCTGCAGGGAGAGCAGTGGAAGTCTAATCAAGTTATTCAAAGGAGAGAGAGATGTGAAATTACCAGAGGAAAATAATTTCAGTGGCATTGGAACAGGTACACGGATAGTGAAGGTGAGGGGGAAGAGAGCTACCAGGTAGAGGAAGAGAGCTACAATTTTGATAAGAGTTGGCCAAAAATGGGCTTTCTTTATAAAGCTGGGGCACACATTAAGACATTCTGTAAGGAATTAACTCAGAATTGGTGGCATCCTTGAGAGGGACAAGAATTAATGGAAGCAAAGACATTTCTAACCTTGCAGTGAGTGAAGTTCTCAAAACAGATCAAGTTGTAAGAGCACTTGAGTAGAACAGCTCTGGGTTTTGAATCTGAGGTGATACAGCAGAAAGGCAATTAAAAGGCATCCTAATAATGTCATTAATAAATTCAGCAGCACGTTGAGGACAGTAAAAGCCTATGATGAGGTTCACAGAGCTAACTGTGCAAGAGAGGTGACATTGGGATTTCAGGTACTGTCAGTACTGCTGTCCCACAAAATCAGGACCTATGGATCTTTGGTTTTATCTGTCTTGCATACAACAAAAATGAAGACAGATTTTTTTCAGGTCTCAGACAGGCAATGAAAGCTTCAAGTCTGCTGTTCCAGACCACACGGAAAGTTTGCACATGTGAAAGCCTATCTTGTTTTCCCAGCTAAATCAGTTGACCTAATAACAGCTATGACCTCTAACCATAGTTCTTAGGCCATTACAGCATAAGCACTGCTAACACAACTGGGAGAAAACGCTTAGCTATGAGAAAGGCCTTGCTCTCACACCAAGCTATAGGAGAAGCGAGTTCACTG